GCGTGAGCGTCCTGGTCCAGCCGGGGGATCGGTACAGTACATGGGTGTGATGCACACTGCACAATGCGCAAAAAGGGGGGCGGGGATGCTTGCCCGCGGATCGCGGCGCGCGGCGGTCTCGACTTTTACGTACACTGCGCGCGCGCGCGCAGGCAAGTAGAGTCGCGGCGGGGAAGCGTCCGCCACGCGATTAGAACGCGGCGGGCGTACGCGTGCTGTCCATACGTGCGACGGCGACGGGCGCGCGCGATATCGATTGCGTCGAGCGGGCCGCGCTCGCGCGCAAGGGAGAGGGGGGAAGGGGAGGGAGGCACGGCACGTTGGAGTGAGGGCGCGCGCAACGGCGACGGCGGCGCGCATTCGGACGCGCGCGCCTCGGGCGTGGGGGGCGGGCCGCGGGGATGCGCGCGGTTTAAAGGGAAGCGCCCGAATTGCATTGCATTGCATTTGATGCATCCGAGGTGACGCTTGCCACGTCAGTCAGTGGGTGAACGAAGCATATGGATCGGGATCGATATCTTGGGTCGCGATCAAAATCCCACGCGTACGCGGTGTACACGTGTTACAACTGAACAACAGCTGCTGGGCGTTACAGCGGTCGCGCCTGGTTTGAAGTTCAAACTTTGAACGGGACGCGTTTGCGGGCGGAGATGCTGATCGCCGGCAGACCGATCGATCGAAGAGACAACTACTGTAGCAGCACAGCAAACAAGCGGTTTCGACATGTCAACCCAATCTTCCCTGTCGCCTGACGGATTGCGCAAGGCAAAGCGTGCCTTTATGGATGCATTCGGCTCGCAGAACACAAAAAGGAGGACGCAAACTATGATTAACGAGTTCATTACAACGATCACGGTAATTAACATAGTCCATGTTAAATCTGAACGCCACTTTTTCGCTCTGCTACAAAGAATAAACCTGATCCAGATTAATTTTGAATCCAGGTTAATATATGTTGGAATTGAAAATAACATGGACCAGGTTATTCAAAAGCCCCCAATTTACGGTGGGTACAAGATCATTGCTGTCGTTTATCCCTGTGCCGGGGTTGTAGACGGTTAAAAGTCTGGACCGGTCGGGGTTTTTTGGCATACCTGCGTCAATATGACGAGTTAAGACCCCGGTTGAACGGGTATAGAAGCCGCCACCGACGCTGCACCCACTGCAAAAGGCCCCATTATAACACAACAAATCATGTACAGGCTAGTCGGTCTCAAAGAATTCGAGCTAGGTCCAATGTGAGAATCGGTCCAAGGTTCTCACTAGTCTCAAACATTTATCTCCGAAACTCCCAAAAGTCTCCCTGAGAAATGTGGCTGTCATTGAGATTTTTGAGAGTTTTATTCAGATTTGATGCTCTCACTGGCAATACAGGTTGGGGGCCGCGATATAAGAGCACTTTGAATAAGACCAACCTCGCAGTAAGAGCACCATTTTCGCTTGGCACGGTATCATAACTTCAAGACCCATCAGGCACTGTAATTCCAATCACACAGGCCTTTTCTCGGGGTATTTCAAACGCATCTTAGAAGCCCCGCTCACAGTCCGCATGTTCCATTTCTCCGCGGCTGTGGAGGAGGTTAGGTTACCCTTAGTAGTGACGAAACAACATATGTATGTTGGGGAAGAACACGCCACTATACCGACCGCCACTATACCGACATCAGTTGGTCTGAATACATTATTGCTACCGCTAGAAACAATTGCTCATGATACATTATAACAGAGGTAGGGATGTTGTTGCGGCGAGTGAGAAGCGTTTTCGCGCGCTTACAAGGGAGGGCTTCTGTGCACAGGTCCAGGCAACTACTTATTGGTGAGGCGTTACAGCGTTCTAAGGAGTAAATTGGGCATCCTGTGCGAGATTCTTGAATAGCAGCAACCTCGGATTAAGAGCAGCATGAAGGGTTGGCACGGGGTGCTCTTATATCGTGGTCCCCACTGTATGTAGAAGGTCTCCCTGTGCGTACCAATGAGAGACACTGGTGTCACCACTCTCTCTTCTGAGCGCACGTCTCACAATACAGATTGGGAATCAACTGGAGACGGGAGACTGGAGACTGGAGACTGAAGCGAGCACCGCCGCCCCCGCAGAGCCCACCCCCGCCGCTGCCGCTCCGACCACGCTCCCGCCGCCGCCCGTGGACCCCCGTGCCCTCCGCTTCTATTCCCGCGCTCGCCGCTATCTGCGCTATCCCGACCGACACCTCCGCTGCCGCCGTGCCCGCCGCCCCCTCGCTACCACCCGTCGCGCGGCCCGTGCTGCCCACCGAGCGGGTGCCTCCCTCGCCGCCGTCGTACGTCGCGCCGCCGCCGGCGCTGGGTGAAAGTTCCGCAAGAGGGAACGGAGGGGCGGGCTGACGTAGGGGATTGAATGAGGGATGTCTCTGGGCTGTGGGGTGGATTGCCTGCCAGAAGGATGTTCTGATTCCAGAATGAGGGAACCGTCACCTTCAAACGCTTACACATCTGCACACACGTTACGGGCTGACATTAGCGGGCCTAAGGCACTTTGGATAGCAAAACGGAGGTGTTATGAAGGAGATGGAAAGAAAATGGATTTAGAGACGTCCGCAGCTACTGAGAATGCCGCTAGCACCACAGATACTCTCCCTTGTAATGGACAAAAGGAGGGACTTGTAACGCCCTGCGCTCGCAACGATAGCTAGAGAGCGAGATGTCTACGGCACGATGCCTTGGGGCGTAGCAGGGCTGGCCTCGTAGCGCGAGCCTGCCGCATAGGTGAGTGGACAGCCACCTCTGAGACTGCGATTCCGGGTGCGTAGCCTTTGTAAGAGCTAGCGTCTATGCGCACCCGTACCCCGCTGGGTACTGTAAGTACTTCATGGGCATACCGCCGAGCGAAAAGCCCCACTGCAGCACAGCAGTGATCCTGGTCTATCTGACCAGGAGGTGTGTAGGGCGCAGCGCAACCGTCGTCGCCTGACAGGGACGACACCGGGCGGAGAGTGCGGAATGCTGCACCCGTTCGGGTTTTGTAAATAAAGGCAGCATGCTGCGTTGGGATCCGGGGAACCCGGGGAGACGCACGCGTTAACTGTGCCCATTCTATTGCTTTCCCATAGTTACATCGCTCCTTTACTCTGAGCGCCGCGAGCGCCCTGTCCGACGTAGAAGCGCTTACTACCGAGTCCTGTGATCTGTCACAAACTGTATGTTGCCGATACAGACGACGACGGAGAGCTCTCAAAATACGGTCAAATTTTGCGCACAGGCGTTTGTGAATTACCAAATTTTCTGCCCTTTTTTTTTTTGAGACTGTGGCCCAACCCTCTCTTTGAGATTTCACAAAAACCATCTCTAAATTATAGTGACGAAAAACCTTTTACAACTAGTGTCTAGGTGACAAATGACCTCATATGAGGTCACTTTTCAACTTATTTTTTCTCTACTTGCGCTAGCTCAACAAGATGGAAAAAGATACTCTCGCCACCGCAGTTGACTTCTGCGTTGCGGAAGGGCGGAGTTTGGTGAGATCTGCACGTCTTTTCCAGCCATTTTTAAAATGCCCAAAAAAGGAGCCTTTTTGACCAACCTCAAAACGTTTTATGTTGATTTCTTCGAAACCAAAACGCCTGTTTAAAAAGCCAACTCATCATTGAAACTTCATTAGATTCTTAGTCTCTCTGTGCATTGGAAACTGCCATCCCAATGTTTTGCAAGATGTTAATGCCGAGGGCAAATACGTTAAAGAAATAGTGCCCAAACTGGCTTTTTAAAGTTTCGATTTAATTTTTATATATTTTTTGCAAAAAAAACTGGCCTCATATGAGGCCATAACTGACCTCTGTAACGACTCGCGGGGTCGCGCTCGTGGAACTCGCTTCTCCAAACTAGAGGGGAAGTGCGCACAGTATCGGCAAGTCACTCTACCTCCTCTTTCTCTGGAGAGTGCCGCACTTTACTCTATAAAGTGTTGTCCTCCTTTTCAGGACAGGAGCTCCAATTCCACGCCCGTGGCATGTGGTGCCAACGGGCGCGACCCTTTTCAAAATACTACTGTCGGTGACGCCTGAAAGGTCGCCTCCGAATGTCCTCATCAGACGCATAATTAAAAGGTTCGGGATATTACACCTCATATGAGGTCAAATCGCTTGTCGTCTAGACACTAGGCACAGGGTTATATCGTACCCACCTTCTCACTATTTTCTAACGGTTTCACAATCAAAATGATTACGATGCTTAGGTATGATACTCTGCAGCTCCCAAAAGAGCTGCTTTTCTTCCCACAATCCGTTTAAGTTGAGGGACATAAGCGATGCGGAATGCGATGCGCACCGGACCGTCCCAATGCGGCTCTGTGATCCAAAACTGGATCGCTTTCTCTTAGGTCGATTACCAGAATTAACCTGGTCCAGTTCATAAAGGAATCCAGGTTAAATTAAAAAGTAAAAAGATCGGGTGTACTGTTTGATCGCGACGTGTAGAGCCAGCTGCGAGCCGTGCAGGGCTCACAGGCCCATATCTGTAGTGCTGTCAACGCCATATCCCCCCTCACATCACCTTCCCTTTCATCAAATCTCCAGGCCACACATACAAAAGTGCTTGAGCTTTCGACAGAGCGCAGCGATTGTGAACATTTTCGTAAGCAAATACACCAAGGATCTACTGTACCCTTGGTGTACCGTGAACGCGCAAAGAACTTGAAGTTTCTTCCATATTATTGCACATCGGGAGTACTGCACCTTTTGTGCTTACGACACGGGTGTGCACTAATGAGCAATACCCACTGTACCAAGGGTACTGTGAGTTTTGCCAAACGCGTTGCTTGAAATTTTTTGCGTTCAGAAAACCCGAGCAAACTCGCCTCCAAAACACCCGTTTTCGTGACTTCACAGACAACCTTAAATGTTTGCGGAAAAACTTGAAATGAACAGTCCATGCACCCAATCCACAAGTGCCAGCTGTCGATCTGTAAAACGTGTCCAATTCCGAGACAGCACTTCCACCTCCGCTTTCCGCTGGCCCTCCCCTGCTCCCTACCGCTCTTCTCGGCACCGCTCTCTGTCGCCACCTCCCTCCACCACCATCGCCATGAACAATCCTCCCACGACCAACCTGCTCCCCCAACCCCCGCCGTGCCCTCTGTGTCCCCCCGCCCACCATCCCTCGGCGGTCTCGCGCCCGCTCCCGCTGCGCAAGCAGCGCCGCTTCGCCCGCTCGTCGTGCGCGCCCCGCTTTTGTCCCGAGCACCACGCCCTGCGCGCCACTCTCGCCGCCTTGCTCTTCCGGGGGCGAGGCGGGGTGAGACGCGTGTGCTGGAGGACCCAGCGACCCCGGGGAAAGGCGACGGGCGTCCTTGTGAGTGCCGAGGTGTGCGTAGGGGGGACCGGGGGTGTGGACCGCATGATGGAGAAACTTGCCATTAGCGAGGAGGAGAAGCGGAGCGTTGTTAGAATCCCATGCGGAGGAGACGCTGATGAGAGAGAGAAGGGTGCTGTTCTTGAGCCGGGCGATCGGACGAGCCTGGAAGTAGACACAAGTAAGTTTAGTTGAGTCGGTAGGGCATGTCGACAGCGCCCGCCTAAACCATACGGCAACCAGTAAACTAAGTCATGCGCAAGCCGTCCCATCTGGCTTCGGCCCCGTCTCCCCCAAACACGTCCGGCAGGTCCGCGTCCCTGCTCACTGTGATCTCGGTGCAATGAGCACACCACGGGTTGTCGGCGCGATGCGTCATGCTGTAACCTCGACGCGTAAAGTTGGCGAATAGATTCTCCATGAACTTGGGCGTCGCCTTGTACGCGTGCATTTCAATCGCCAGCTGCTGTGGGAGCAAGCTCTCGTGGCCGTGGTCCAGCAGGGCCTGCAGCACAGGAAACTCTGACCCTTCGATGTCCATCTTCACCACAGCGGGCATCTTCTTGGCGCCCTTGGTCGCCCCCATCGCGATCACGCGATTCCACCCGACAAAGTCTTCCCGCGGGTCGTCCTCCTTCCCGAGACACGTCTTGTGCAGCGTCACGCGCCCCTGCAGCTCCTCTGGAATCTCCCAGCTCCCCGTACAGTCAAATGTGTGAATCTTGCAGTTGGTCCTCTTCACAATGTCCTTTTCGAACGACCACTTTCCCTGGCACCCCAGCGACAGGATCCAGCAAGCGTTGCTTGAAAACGTCTTGGAGTTTGCGCACAGAATCTTCTCCCCGTCGCCATGCCCGTACCCCTCAAACCGGCAACAGCTGGGCTTCACAGGCCCCATCGCGCGCCACATGGACGCTGGGACGGTCTCCGGGATGTCGATGGCCGGGCGCCCGTTCTTGATCATCCACTTGAACTGATTTTGCTTGATATACTCATCCAGCAACGGGGTGTAGTACACGGTGCCGTCGCACACGATGGCGGCAAGTGCCGACACATCGCCCTTGTGCACCATGAGGTTTCTGGCGGCATGAAACAGATACACGTCCTCGTCCACGCCGACGCTTGAGTGCAGCGTGACGTGCACACGGGCCTCGCGCAAGGCGTCGCGCATAAACGTGGCGTCCCTGTGTGCGTCCTTCACGTCTGCGGCGTCGGCCAAATTGACGACGAGCAGGACGTGTGCGAAGTGGCGGGCGCGATGGACGGCCTGCTGAACAAAGTCCGAGGTGAGGCTGGACACGGCCAGGCCGTGGACGGGGTGTGCCTCGACGAGGAGGGTGAGGGTGTCGTTGCGGCGGACAACGTGCTCGTGCACCACCGAGCGCCTGCCCTGGCGCCACACGGCCAGCGCATGGCGCAGATGCGGTGGGTACGGCTGGCGCGCGCACGAGCTCGGGATGGCGGCGTAGCGCGCGAGCAGCGAGGTAGGGTAGGCGCGGGCGAAACGCGCGACGCGGGAGGGGAGGTCCGGCGGGGACGGGGATTGCAAAAACGTGGGCATCGAGAGAAGATGCGGGAGGTTGTACGACTCGCGCGAGAGGACAGAGAGCGTCGGGTGGCGCAGCGGGGTGTAGCGCTTCGGGCGGAGGAAGACGAGCGGGAGCAGCAAGAGGAGGTACTTGAGGCGATGCGGGAAGCGCTTTTTGGGTGTGAGCGTGGCCATTGTGGGAAGCGGTGTGTGAGGGTGGGGTGATAGCATGCGGAGGAGGAGTGGGGGTGTGGGGGAGGGGTATGGGGGAGGGGTATGGAAGAACGGGGAAGGGGCTCTGCCCCTCCCATTTGGGAATGAGTTAAGTGTTGCGAGGTGATGGGGGGATGAGCCAGAATGGCGGAGGTGGAAGTGCAACTTGAAGGTATTCTGTACCGACAGTGTGAAAAGGAAACAGACGAGCAACCGCCACTGTCACACTGAACTTACAGAACAAATATTACAGTGACAAATAGGACAGGCTGTCCATAAGCGTGCGTAGGTACACGTGTACAGAGTGGCTGTAATTTGGGCTCCAGAACCTTACAGTATCAATCCAGAACTGTTCACAAACAGCTCACATGAGCTGTTTTGCTCAGTACAGTACAGTCTTGCTCGTCATATCAACAGTCGTAGATTTTAACGCTGCATTTGTTTTCACGACAACATCCTTCGCTAGATTGGTGGTCAAAACGTGCCACTCAATTCTATTTCTCTGCCAGAAAGAGAAAATCTCTTCCGGGCCCGGCCCTTTACATTTATGTTTAGTCTGCACATTTGGGGACTCACAAACAACAACGACACAGGAGACCGAAAATGGGGACGGCAACTGAAATGAAGCCAATAGGGTAAGGGCGGTTGCTGCGTCTGTGCTCCAAACAATTTTGAAGGACGTGATGGGCGACGGGCAGATTGGATGATGGAAGATGGATTCGTTCCACGCTTCTTAAACACACGCTTTAAAATACGCTTACTTTGCCACAGTATGTGAAGCACCCCACATGTTCAAAACTGGTTGCGGTGTTGTATCGCAAAGAACGTCGAAAAGAGCAGGAATAAATCGGCAAATATACAAGATTCTACCCTTATTAGCGTAATTTCAATGTTTGGTTCTATCAAGCTTGCTGTTAGATCCTGCAACAGCCAGATGAAGGCTTGAACACCAGCACACATGTTTGGAATCTACTTTTCGTGCATGATCGATACGGTAACGAAAGCTTCATCTTCAGCACACCATCTCCGCAACCTGTTTCATCTCTTTCCACGAAAAATTCCAGCTTACAGGGCATCAACTGAAGGCGTGATACAACGACATACTCTGTAAATGTAAGCAGCTGAACGACTCGCCCCTTCTTTGACCTTTCCGTGCTTTTCGACGCAGAAAAGAAAAAAGCGCCATGCGCTTTTACTAGTACAAGGTATTTAGGAGTGTCTGAAAGTGTATATAATAAGGGCCTGGTGTCCGACGTTGGGAACTTCTGGGGCAACAAGAGCTCAGACCATTGAAGAAGTAAAGTCCATTGACTCTTAACCTATTATCGTATCATGCTCCCCGATAGCCACTCTAGTTCAGTTTCCTTCGTTACATTTTTTATCCCTGAACCTGCACAATGTACGTCATACTTTTGTATTCTCTCCCTCTCTGATTGTCGAAAAATTGGTAAAACAACTACTGTACGTGTACCTCCTGAATACTGCTCTCGCACCTCGCATCTTCTGAGCTGTGGATATTACTGAAGTAATCCCAAAGACTTCCCGTCTTGAGGCATAGTTTTCGGAGAAAGGGTTTTTCTTGGCCCGATAAGTGTAAGAATCGGCCTTAAACGACTCGGGGTTGTTTAGTCTCCCATCTGAAGTGGGAGAAAATTTGTCGAAGAGGGCGTGAAAAATTAAACACTTGGGTACATTTGCATCAAATCACTGGCCACAAGCGGTATTCTACCTTTATTTAATTGACATGAAAGCGCACAGCATGTTTATAAACCTCTAGAGTGATGTGCGTTTTTCGCGTGTTGGCGCTCGTTCTGCTAAGAGTTTGGCACTCTGGCACTCATCACCTTTAGTATTTGGTCTATGTGTAGGAGACAGTATGGGGAGCAGACGCAACCATTTGCTTCTCAACGGTGGCAAACTTAAATCCAGCCACGTGAATGACTGGCCTCCGTCACAATTAGGTGGTGAAGATTCCAGCTTTCTTGTTACTGCAGTCCGTAGACTTGCGAAAAGCCCAGTCTCTGAGCACTCCAGGTCACGATGACTTGCTTTTTCTTCGCCGAACGAATTTCACAGTAAATAACTGCGCCTGCCATACTTTTGAGACAAGAAAAGATTTTGATGTCTCTGATTCCAGGAAAGCCTTCCGTGGAAGGTGAACATGGCCAAAAGCATCCAAATTCGCAATGCACGCAGGAAATATTTTACGCAGTGCTTTTTCTCTTAACCGGAAAAGCTGGTTTCAGTTTTGTGATTATTTTAACAACGACATTGTTGATATTTTGCTATCAGCATTGATGGTTGCTTCGTGTAGCTGTCGTCAATATATATAGGGATGTCTGTGCCACCTTCGGCGACAATTGAGGCCTAAGAGGCACTGCATACCAAGGAAGCTATCTTGGGGAATCAATGTTGTTCTTTAATTAAAGAGTAAAGAATATGAATACCTATTGGAATTAAAGTCGTCTAGGGGCTTGGACCCCACTTGACACGTATCAGCTTTAGTAGCTTCTGCGCTAAATTTTGGAAAGGTGGCACTCACGAAAATAGATTTCACAGTAGTCATCAATGGGTGACACAACAAGATATGGTCTGGGTATTTATTATGTGACAAGTGAACGGAGACTTCCTTCATGCTTAATTTTCCTCGATCCTTACAAATACTGAGTGGGATGAGAGGGGGGTGCTGTCTGGATTGTGTCTTGTCACCAAATTCCCTGCCGTGCATGCTGTGGGTGTTGTGGAAACAAAAGGACCGGTGTGCTCGGAATGTGCAGACGATAAAATTTCAACTTTTCTTCCCATTTCGAACTTACTCCGCAAAGCGCAAAACGCTGTTCCTCACGCAGCACCCCCATTGCGCAGTTTCAAAATGCTTACAACGATGCGACGGGCCTCTCTGCACGGAGCAAGCGAGCGACTCGCAACTTTGTAAACTTCTGTCCGTACGGTAGGTACAGTAATCTTACACTGTAGCATGGAAGGTACAGATCCTTCCGATTCCATCACAGCGCATGTTGGGCTTGTTTTCACCTCTCTGCAGCAACCCGCGTGGAGACCAGAGCGTGGAGACCAGAGCGTGGAGACCAGAGCGGGTCGCCTTGTTGCATGTTGTGGTGTAACGACTGTGTGAACTGGAGACCGATGACTCCTCCTCGTTTACTCGTCGTCGCTCGTGGGTTAAGTATGTCCTGTATAGGACAGACTGTCCTGTGCGGTCTGACACTACAAAATGGCTATTGGCGAATGTGATTGTGCGGTCAGACAGTCCCCGGGTTCGCCAATAGGGGTTTTGGGGCGACGATGCTAAGGTTACGAAGGAGGTGCCGTGTACGTTGGGGTCCGAGTGGCTTGGTGAAGTAGTCCGCTAAGTTTTCGTCGGAGGGGATATGTTTGATGTTGACGTTTCCTCTTTGGATGTGGTTGTGGATGAGGTGGTGTTTGACGTCAATGAATTTTCGGCGTTTGGTGGGCGCCGAGTTTTGGGCGACAAGGATGGCAGACTTGTTGTCGACGAAGAGCGGTGTTGGTTTAGTCTCAGGCGTTTGTGTTTCGCTGAGAAGCCTTCTGAGCCAGTGGGCCTGTTGTGTAGCGGCGGTGGCGGCCAAGTACTCTGCTTCGCACGTGGAAGCCGCGACGACTGTCTGTCGGGCTGATGTCCAGCTTATAGGTGCGCCTTGGAACATGTGTACGACTCCGGTTCGCGATTTGCGGTCGTGATCATTCGCAAAATCGGAGTCGCTGTACGTGCAGAGAGTGGGGGAGGTGGTTCTGGGTGCGGATTTGAAAAGGATGCCGTGGTCCTTTGTGCCGCTGAGGTAGCGTAAGAGCCATTGGAGGTGGTCTTTGTGCTCTTTCGCGGGCTTGTGCATTACCGAGGCTAGCATGCTGACGGCTGGATGTATATCTGGCCTTGTGCTGTCCGCGAGGTAGCGCAGATCGCCTATTGTTTGGCGGTACAGAAAGGCCTGATGTTGTTCCAGTGGTGTGCTGTCGTGTGCGAAGGTGAATGCTGCTTTGGGGGGAAGTGGTGTGCGCTTTGGGTTCGCTGCGAGCATGCCCGTTTTCGTGAGTATTGACGTGGCTACTTGCGGCTGTGCGATGTGTACTTCGCCTTGTGGCATACGTTGTATGTGCCATTTCAAGTATTGGGCTGGGAAGCCTAGGCGCTTGATTTTGTATTTCGCCGCGAGGGTGGCGTGTAGTTCGTCTTGCATGGCTTGGGTTGAGGCGACAGAGAGAAAGTCGTCCATGTTGACTGCTACGAGTATTGTGCCTTTGATTGATTTTTTGAAAAAGAGGCACGGGTCGGCTTCGGTAGGCTGGTAGCCATGGGAGGTTAGGTGTTTGAGGAGGCCGTCGTGGTAGATGCGGGCGGCCTGTGGTGTGCCGTATATGTTCTTTATGAGGAGCCCCGCTTTTCCTTGATGTTTAAATGTGCCATTGAAGCGGGGGTGTTGTTTGATGTATACCGGTTTCGTTTGGGGGAAGCGTTCATGGAGGTATGCTGAACTGATGTCCATGTGTTCTAGTGACCAATTGCGGGAGGCGGCTATGGCTAATAGGAGCCGTACTGTAGTCTTGTCCGCCATGTGCGTGGTAACTTGGTCGGGGTCATAGTGCTTTCCAGGTGTCATACGGTCGCCTCTTGCGGCGCATCTTGCTTTGCGCTCGGTGACGGCTCCCGTATGGTCCCGTATGTAGCGGTAAGTCATGGTGAGCGGTATTAATTTTTCGTGTTTTGGGATCATGCTGTCGGGGATCCATCTGATGGTGTTTTTGTCATCTAATTTTTCTAGTTCGGCGTCGTGCGCTCGCGCCCATTCGTGCGCGTCGGGGTAGTTGCGAGCTTCTTGTCTGTTGCGGGGGTCTGGCGTGGTTATCTGAGGAGTGGGTTGGGGTGGAGGGGTAGAGGTGGTGCGAAGAACGGCGTTGGTGGTGACAGCTGGGTCATGTGACTTGGTGTATGGGAGGAAGTCTTGTGTGCGGACTGTGTGATATTGGTGCGTGTGGGTATCTTGCACGGTGATTGAGCGGGGGTTGTTGGCATACATATAGCGTACAGGTCGGCTGCGTGACTCGAGTTTCTTCTTATTTGCGTAGACCGGGACGGTCCCGATCTGGCCGAAGATGAGGAGTTGTTTGGGTTTCGCCGGTTGGCTGTGCCACAGTGTGTATGGCGCTTGGTTTGTTGCGCTGTGAGGTAGGATGTTGTACTTGTAGGCAGCGTCTCGTACCGCGTCTTCCCAGTATGTTGCAGGCAGGTTTGCGTGGTGTAAGTTTGCTCTTGCTGCATTCATGAGGGTTTGATTAATTCTTTCGGCGATGGAATTTTCTTGAGGTTGGTGAGGCGTGTTGTTTTCGTACTGTATTCCTAGAGCGGCGTAGGTTTGGAGCGCATGATTGGATTTGAATTCTCGGGCGTTGTCGGTGCGGTATATTTTAGGGAGACGGTTGCGGTGTTTGAGTTGGGCAAAGAATTGAGGCATGATGATGCCGACTTCGTTCCGTGATTTGAGGAAGTACAGTATGACATGCCGTGAGGCGGCGTCTATGTACGTAAGGAAGTGTAGATTGCCGTGCGTAGATCTGGGTTGGATCGGTCCGCATGTGTCTGAACTGAGATATTCACCGGGGGCATAGTGGTGGGGTGCGGGGGTGTGGCGTGCTGGTCGTTGTTTGGCGTGCGAGCATGCCGAGCATGATATGCGAATTTTTGTGGTTGACAGTGATGCTGGAAGGCCGTGTACTGTTTTAGTTTTTGCGATATTTTGTATTGTGCGGAGAGGGGCGTGGTTGAGTTTGAGATGCCATTGATGCAGAATTCTGTCGGCTGTCTTACAGGGGATTTCTGGTATGTGGGGAGCTGGTGTCGATTTAATGGATCTTGGTGTGTGGTCCCGTGACTGTGTGAGGCCGGTGGGTGTGGCTTTGCTGGTTGTGAGGGGTGTGGCAGTGGGTTTGGTTGTCTGTTGTGGTGCCTTTTTCGTTGGTGGTTTGGGAATTGGCCTTGTGCGAGCTGCTCTGGCCTGTTGTTTTGGGGTCGTGAGGGGTGTGGCGGTGGGTTTGGTTGTCTGTTGCGGTGCCTTTTTCGTTGGTGGTTTGGGAATGGGTCTTGTGGGGGTTTCTCTTGCTTGTGGTTTTGGGGTTGATTTCCATGCATACGATCGGATCTGAGAGTCCCATGGTGCCGTGCCAATGACAGTGCCACGTGAATTTTTGTCAAATATGTAGGCTACGTCTGGTGTGAATAGGACGTTGCCATGTTTTTGCGTTATGGATCTGACAGAGAGGAGATTGTTGGGGATTCTGGGTGATACGACGGCGGTGATTTTCAGGGGGTGACCCTTATTCGTCCGTATCGTCGTCTGTCCGATGTGTGTACAGGGTACAGTTTGGTTAGTGGCCGTTTTGGTTCTGGTCGGGGCTAGTCGAGGGTTGTGCAGTGAGGAGAGTGACTGCATGTGGGAGGGGTGTGCTCCCGAGTCCAGGATATACGTACAGTGATCTTCAAGAAGATCGACCCTTGGCGCTTGGTTGAGCACGTTGGTGTGTCCTGCGTCTGGGTCTTGTGCGTAGTCGACCGGGCTTTGTGTGATGTGGGCCGTGTTGAGGAGCTTGGGACGTGTTGTTGGACGGATGTATTGGTGGCGAGGGTGGGCTGGATGGTTGCACTCTTGATCCGTGTGTCTCGGTCGAGTGACGCCTCGGGACATGTGGAAGCGACACGGATTTTTCGGCACCGGTAGGTTGTGTTGGGGCCGGCGGGTGTACCATGGAGCGGGTGTCCTGTTTCGGAATGAGTTGGCGGGACTACCAATGTCGCCATGCATGCTTGCCGGTTTAGGGAGGGATGATCGCTGGTACAGATCTAAGCGATTGAACTTGTGTACGAAGTCTTTGGTGTCTTTGGGATCGAGGGCGATGAGCTGGCTTCCTATCGTGGTTGTGGCTGGGTTGAACCTCAGACCATCTATGAGAAACTCGACAGTAGTCTTGGGGTCAGAGATGTCTGGGAACCGGGCTGCTATCATCCTTGTTCGAATCTTTTCGTGGGCGTTGATGTACTCTTCTAGCGTCATTTCGGGCTTGTAATGGGCTTGCTCTGCCAGTTGCTTTAGGTACTTGTGATCTGATGCGTTTGTGGTGTCGAGGTGGGAGGTGACGGCTTGTACTAGATCGTAGGGAGTGGGATCACTGGTTGGCGTGAGGATGAGATTGGCTATTTCGGGGGGTATGGACGTAATTAATTTTCCAAGAAGGTAGTTCTTGTTCTTGTCGAATATGTTGAGGTCGGTTGGGTCTTGCGGGGGTGGGGGGTTTCCTGTGATGTGTTCGATAGCTCCGATGGTGTGTGCTGCTGCGCGGGTGGCTACTATCCAGGGGCCGTAGTTGGTGGGGTCTAGTCTTGGGATGTCTGGTCGTTTTTCCATTGTGTCGGTGTTGTGTTGTGTGTGAATGTCTTGTGTCGTGATCGTGGGTTGTGTCGGTGGAGGTTTGTATGTGAGGTGTTGGTGGTGGTTCAGCCTGGGGCTCCTCCGCAGGGGGAGGGATCGGTGTGTTCTTGTCGTTGTGGGAGTTGTTGTTGTTGATGTAGAGCGGTGGGGATGTCGTGTTATGCAGGGTAGCGAAGGGTGCCCGTAACCTGTGTGAACTGGAGACCGATGACTCCTCCTCGTTTACTCGTCGTCGCTCGTGGGTTAAGTATGTCCTGTATAGGACAGACTGTCCTGTGCGGTCAGACAACGACTGCGGCTTCTGCCAAGGTCGTACCACGGGTACAACAACTGTACAGGTGGCACCCATAGAGCTGTACAAGAAAAATTGGGGAATCCACCTGGCCTTCACTCACAGGGCCACTGCCGTGAATGAGATTGTTTCTCGAAATTTCTATTGGCGGTGCACAGCGACCCGTACGCCCCCGCTGTCCACGTCATGTCGCCGGCACTCACGACGGCAGAGTATTGCGACGGCATCAGGTGCGCCATCCCGGCAACAGCAAGAGTGGGCGTATTCGCGTCTGGCAAGAAGCCGCCAAGGCTCAAAACTGGATTAAAAAAAGAGAGAGGCGTGTTGACACGCCGCAGTTGATAGCTTTCAACTCTACCTTTGGCTATCAACTCCACCCACCTGCCGAAAGAATATATGAACGTTGCCGTTGGAATGACAGCGGTGCATAAAAAGTTTTCATTCAGGCAAGTCTGAGCTTTCATCGGAGTGCATGTCCGGAAAAGGGGCTTATTCTGAGCAACGGAAGCCCGTCCGGGCTCGTTTATTGGGCCGAGAGGGGAAAAGTCGCCATGGTCATGCACTGTCTTGCCGCCGGTGCCATGGCTACCTTCCGAAACGTACCGCTATGAATTCCATTCACCACGGCGTCACGCTTGTTGCGAAATCAATGTCGCCTCCAAGATTATTCAATTCCTTGGTAGACTTGCTGCCTGAGACGCCTTCCACACTGCGCCGACACCGTCACCTTCCCATTTACACTACTTAACCCAAACCTCTCTCTCCACTCTGGCCATCATCATTGTCGTAATCCCACGAACGACCTTCTTCTCTACCATGATGTTGCACCCACTGCTCCTCTCTCTCCTCCTCGGAGTCGCGCTTGCGCACACCTCGACCCCAATCCTGCCAGAGTCCAAAGTCAACTACGATCTTTTCCCAGTAACCTCTCGGCAGCAACGTGGCTGCGCCAGGGCCCCCTTTAAGTCATCGGTCTCTGGGTTTATTCGAGCATCGACGTTTGGCGTTTCTGTTACACGTGGCGCAACGGCAACGATAAGCTTCTCGATCACGCTCAGTGGAATCTCCGCCGTGGAAATGGCGAAGAAAGATGCGATCTACCAGAATATTCTCACAGGCTCCCTCAAGAAAACGTACATGAGGCGAAAGAATGCGTACAAGGGCGGTTTGAATTTGCCTTTCATGGCCGATATTGGCGCCGATTTGCGCCGACGCAAGTTGAATGGCGGGGAATTGCGGAAGAGCAGGGTCTCCAAGCAGCTGTTTGAGAGGCGTTTATGCGCAGTCTCCAAGATTCTCGGTGGAGTGAGGAGGGCGCGAGTGCAGATTCGCGGATCGAGAAGGGTGACTGGGACTAGCTTGATTCCTAGGACAGTGTATGGCTATGTGAAAGTTGCCAGAGTCACGAGGACTGACGGCAAGACGATCACGATCGTGAGCACAGACCCGAGGGATTTTGTCGTCTCCACGAGTGAAGGCATCGTCTCTGCTAGAGGGGTCGAGGGAGTGCAGGTTTCTCAATTGTAGAACTTGATCGATTTGTTGAAACGCGAATGACACCGCAACCCTCGTAACTGAATGCATCACTTGTGACGAACTGTCTTGAGACGCTAGGTGCTTTGCTTTCCTTTTGCATTAATCAATCCTTGCGGTTATACATCGTTAATGAGAAAGAAGAAAAGAACCCGTGGTTGAATAAATTCTAGTCGCGGAGCGTGTGGTTGTGATGTGCCTCTTTTCACGGAGAGAAGACCTCTGCCCTTTACTTTGCCTGCTTTTGCCAGCGAAACAAAGTGCTTCATCTCCTGAGCAATTCGCGCAAACAAAATGTTTACATCTTGGCCGAGAGCACCACGCGGTAAACAGTTAGGCTAAACAGTTTAGAGATTCGGTTCCCACGTGTTGCCACGAAACACACATCCAACACGTGGTGATGCATTTCAATGGAACGTGTTGGTTCGAATTTGGCTGCTGAAGTTACCCCGGAGAGGGGAACACGTGGAGCAGATATCGTCTGTTGCCTGAGGGCCTCCTTTGAGACAGCGGGCATGGTCAGTCATGTCGATGGTCAACATCAATGGTGCATTGTGTGTGCGTGTGCCTGTGTCTGTTGTGGGCACTACCCCACGTGTTATGAGAACACGGCATTGCAGGGGGGGGGTCTACGGCATGAGGCGACGCCCGTGCCAAACGCTTCTCCTCACCTTAAACTGAAACGCACCCTCTGCAGTGCTCCCTCTCTCCGCATGCCCTTGGGGACCTCGTCCGCAAAGCTGTCCACGGCCTTCCTCACCAATCCTGGCAGCAGCACCAAGGCCAGCTTCACTACGTCGTCCTCGCCGCGAAGCACGCCTGCAGATCATTCCGCCTCCCGCCCCGCGTGCTTCCCCCCTCGCGCACCACTGCCCGCGCCATGTTTCTCACACCGCACACGCAGGTGCGTGCGGCACGCATGTCGTTGCTCAGCATCCCAGATGCGCATGCCGCAGGTATCGAAAGCGAACGCTTTCCATTTGCGCAACTTGTTCTGCCTGTGGAGCCTTGCAATGGTCTGCACCTGAACATGCATTGACGATGCGGCGGCATGATACACCGATAAGCGCACGTTGGAAAAGCTGGAGGAGGTATGATCACTAGAGGCTCAGCCCAACGCAGGCACTTTTTTTTAAAGATAACCCAACAGCACAACGATTTGCTGATTCGCAATGTCTGGTCCCGGAGGAATAGGCTTTCTTTGAAGGTATATATTCTCACACAATATGAGCGATTTCTTAAAGTAGGGAGGACCCAATGAAGAAGATTTTCTCGACCCCTAAAATCCGGCATATCTTCATTCATCTCAGGGCCGTTCCTAACGACGAGCACGGTGTGCTAGCACGCAAGCGCCCTGAAACTTGGCATGAATGTATTGGTTGAAAAAATTATTGGAAATGCTTTTACTCCCGTTCAACCAATCCATTCATGCCAAATGTCAGGGTGCTTGCGTGCTAGCACACCGTGCTCGTCGTTAGGAACGGCCCTCAGATCGACGACTCCGGAACTCTGTCTCTCGGGGTCATTTTCCCCGGTTACTTTGCCGGCCGGGACGATACCCGCCGGGATGGGCCTTCAGGAACGGCTTGATCGTAGCAGGCAAGGCTGTTGCAGAGCGCTAGTAACGTCTTTGTGCAAAGGGAAGTGTCTCGAAAATGTGCATGCTTTGTCAAAAGGCATTGAAAAGTATTCTGAAGTTGAGCTATACTTTCGAGCGTTGCGGATATTCGAATCTACACCCAATAGTTGCAATTAGTGTCCATGTACAATTAGTGTCAGTGTACAATTAGTGTCCCGTGCACTATTTCAATTCTGGAGATCTGGCGATTGTGGCAAATAATGTCCGTGCACAAACAGTGTACCATACATTAGGTCTTGAGAGCAGTCACGGTCCACCACATCAGATATGATGTGGGCAGTGGAAAACAGAATGTCTACGAAATGACGTTTTCAATTGCATTTGCTTTAAATGATATCGCATATACAGCATAACCTCGTAAATCACTACAAATTGCCGAACTCGGCCTTCACTACAGTAATCCTTTCAGTTCCTCAGATATGCGACAAAAGTGAAGTTACAGCTCTTCCTCATCAGACATAGCACCTGCCCCTTGCGCATATGACCTGCTGGGCAACCTTTGCTCGATACGCGCACGCCTGCGAACCCGGTAGCGCTCCTGAACACGGCGCCGTTTCACAGCTGTGCTTTGCATTATGTGAAAACGCCTGTTTAAAATTTGCCTCCGCCTCGCACCATCTTCTTCTCTAAGCGGGTGATGAAGCACATGTGCGTTCGTAAAGGCCAATGTGAATTGAAAAAACATGTTGTAGTTAGACTCAGCCCACCTCCACTTGTTCGCCATTAGAACCCAAAGTGTGCACTGTCGACCAAAATAGTTTTCGACAATTTTGCGGTCGGACGAAATTTCTCAGTTACCATGGACCTCTTCCCTTGTCAACTCTCAACCCCTTGGCTTCTTGACAGGAATGATAGCGCGTACCTCCCGAGCATCCCCCTGATAGCCCTTGTCCATCAGGACAGCCCAATATCTGGGAAACCGCTGGACTAGAGGTCCAACATCAGTCACAGTGCGCTCTGTCTGAGCTTTGCAGAGTTCCAACTTGTGCCACTCGAGGTTATCATAAAATATATCTACATCGGCGACTGATCCCATAAAATGTCTACTTGCTCCAATGGCTAGACCATTTGGCAACACACTCACCTCGGTCTTATACCCGTACATTTTGTGTTTTCCACTAAAATGACCTTTGGCTTCCTCGTGATTTCCGTGTGGACGGTTGCTTTGGTGAAACGTCACATCCATGGCATACCTCGCCATGCCGTATACACGAAAGTGTGACTGATCCTCAAAAATTCGTGACATTATGAACTTATCTGCAGCGCGCTCGACGAACGTTTTATACGCAAAGGAGTGACCATGCGGATAAAACTCGTGACCAGCCTCTCAAAGGACGTGCTCTTCATGTTGAACATCTTGGCTGCAAAGTCCCACATGGTCCCGTTTTTGCACACGCATAACGCCATAAACAAAACATCCTTGGCCTTATATTTCGAACGTTTACCACGACCGACGTTGTAGTGTTGGGCTATAAAGGGGCGAAGACGGTCATAAAGCCCTCCATACTCCGCCAGTGTAAAGTTCGTCATCTGTAGCACTGCGATTTCCCCCCGTCCGCAACGAAAGAGTCAAGAATTGGGCAATCTGAGTCAGTCTCTTCATCGCTGTCAATTTCCGCAGCGTCATAATCGTACTGGTTGAGCTCTTTGCTCCGCTCTGCAGCCAATTCCGCGAGAAGCCGAAGCGCGTCTCCAGGTGATGTGTCGACGTTGTGGCTCATCGTGCGGTGTTGGATCTCGAGACTGCTTGAAGGCGAAAGTGGTAATGTACTGCACATGACTCTTATTGCGAAAAGGATTAGGCGGGTTCTGTGATTTTTTTTGAAAATGTCAAATTCGTGGTTTATGACTGTCTGGGCAATACGTATCTATTTTGAGAGGTTACAGCGCTGTCAAAAGATCGCGGACAATATCATCTGTTTGTCAATCTTTAGTGTAATGATACAGTTTCTCAGTAATTGTCTAATATTTGGGGTTGTGTTTAGCGCTCAACAGGTACAGCAAGGACTCAACGGAGAACAGGTAATCACTGTGCAAAAGATGCATGCCTACTGAAATGGTCTACTAGAGAAAAGTCGCAAAGACGCGGGCACAGGCGAAAGAGCCAATCCTATGCGTGGAACAACTAGAGAATACAGTAATGGCAACGTAAGTGAGCAGAGATTTCCAAATCACGGCCATGGCCCGTATATTTTAACTCAACAGCTGATATCAAAATAGCACAGAGAATATGCACGTACCAAAAACATGCCAACAATGCAGAAATTCGAAATTACTACGGAGTCCTCGCGAAAAGACCGCGCTTTTGTGCAGTTGAAGGGTCTCCTCTAACCAAGCACCGACCCCCCACTCGTCATATACAGTATATTCCCCCTCCAAACTGTCCTCACCACACCACTACGATCCCCTTCCATCTCCTAACTCCAAATCCCTCCCCATTATGGCCTCACTTCCTCCCAACCACGCCACCGCGGCACTCCAGCTCCTAGCTGACACGGCCATCGAGCGCGACGACGAAATTGCGCAATTCAGTCCGCATCGGAACTCAATGAGTTCCGATGACGACGCCGATTCCCCCTGCCCGCTGTTCGACACATTCTACAACGAAGGTGGCGCAGAGGCCATCAGGAATATGACCAATTTTTTGCCTCGCAACTTCGAACTCCTGTGGAACCACGTTTCTGAATATGTCACTCAGACATACAATATCGGCCGAGGACAGAGGTCCAAAGTATCTGGCAAGGACGGTCTATTCATCACGATGACCGTGTTGAAGCACGGAGGACAATGGGATATGTTGGCACGTGTCCTCGACATGAAAGGGCCGACGTTCGAGCGCTTGGTCACACGGTTTGTTTCTTCAATTTCTCAATATTTGTTTGACTGCTTCGTAGACAAGGTCCGGGACCTCAACAAAATGTCCGATCTCCGCGATTCGCAGCAGATGTTCAAGTCTTTCCCGGAGGCTCGATACGCCACGGACGTGACGTTCCAACAGGCATTCAGACCCAGCGGTAGCCTCGAAGAAGGCAAGAGATATTTTAGCGGCAAACACAAATTATACGGATTCAAAGTTGAGGTTTCCGTACTGCCAAACGGATTAGCTCTCGGCATGACCGCCCACTACCCGGGGTCAGTTTCCGATTTTGAGATTCTACAGCGCAATCGTGACTGGCACCTGGCACAGTTGGCCAAAATTGGATCTGAGAGAGATGTGGAAGACATAGGAACGCTGAGTGTCGAGCACCCTCAGATGTGGGCTGCACTAATGGACAAGGGCTACCAGGGCGTGGCCGAGTTTTTGCGAGGAGTGACCCCTCTGAAGAAGCCGAGAAATGGAAGGTTTTCTCTCAGCGATGAGAGATACAACCGCAAGCTGTCGAGTGACCGGATTATCGTAGAGAATTTTTTCGAGAGACTTTGTGGGCTTTGGTCCCTCTTGTCACGAAAGTGGAGGTGGGGAGAGGCTATCTATGACGACTACTTCCGTCTCGGTGTTGCATTAACCAATTGTCACATTAACTGGCAGCCTCTTCGCGCTCCCGACCACGAGAGGTTTACTCGCATGCGTAATCGCATGCACCAGATTGCAGAAACTGCAATTGATAAAAGGAGAAGGGTCCTGCAGAGGTACAGAGAGAGGCGCAGGCAACGTGTGAATCATCGCTTTCGTTTTACGCAATATGATTCGCAGATCCCTGATTTTGAATAAA